TACAATCTTAGAGTCATTAAGAATATAGTAATATTCTCTTTTTTTCATTATTTTGTAAATGTATTCTATCAATATCAATTTGTAAAAACTTCTTCCCTAAAACAGCACTAACAAAACTTTTTTCTTCATTATTTTCATATTAGGCAATATATTCTTGATATAAATTTATACAATACAGCCTATCAATTTTTTTAACAGGCCATGAGGAAGTATAATCGATTATAAACTAAATAGGATTAGGAAGTTGATCTTGTATTATTTCTGCTCTCATTTTTTGTATTGAAAATATTTTGTGATATCCAATCTAAAAGGTCATATTTAAGTAAATAATTCATAAAAATACCAGATTTATTTGAATTATCTAAAATTTTTTTTAAATACTTAAAATATTTCATATTTTTTTTACATCAAGGTGATATATCTAGACATATAATATGTTCATCACCTATTTTAATGCGAAGTAATATATCATGGTTATTTAAAACTATATATCTAGTAAAGTCTTTAATTATTTTAGGCTCAAGCTCTTTGCACTCTATTGTCACATATGGTTCAGTTATGAGTGATTTTAAGTGATTATTAGCTTTATGCCATTCTCTAAAGGCCATTCCAGTCTAATTTAAAAGGATAAGTTTTCGTACTTATATATAATTATTAAATCTTTCTAATACTTACTTAAGATCTGATATCACAAAAAATAATTCTGATCCTAGTACTTTCTTTCTAATAAAATCTGTCAAGATATTTTTTTCAGAATGTAAAGGTGAGTGTAATACTAAAATAGTACCAGATTTTTATTAAGATATTGTATAAGATATGCAAACCAATTGAGAACATACTCTGAAAGAATTTTATTCCTATTACACTAGACATTTTCTATATATCAGATTATCAGCTTAATAAGAGTGAAATTTATTTCAATGACAGATGCTTTAAAATCCAAAAAGAGGTTAAAAAACTTTGTATTTGATAGGAGATAACATAGTAGATATGAGAGAAAATCAATGTCTCAATATTAAATTAATCTTTTTATAACTGCCTGATATACTAGATTTACTAATTTTACTGCTTTCTCTCTTAGCTCAATTAAATTAATTTCATATTTAGTAATTTCAAGTTTAAATGATATCTTAAAAAAAAGACCACTATCGAAATCCTCAAGTTTTAATACTTATAATTTTATATCAGTTTGAATTAAAGCTCCGAACTGTTCAAATTAATCTGAAGATTTTTTAGATTAGTTCAGTTCAGATCAGTTTTGGATTATACAAAATCAATCTAAAAATTTTCAATTTAGTTTAGATTTTTTTCAAATTATAATTCTAAACCGAACTGAAAAAAATCTGAACTGAACCAATAATTTCAGATTAATCTGAAAGTTCAGTTTGATTATATGCGAAACTTTTAGAGAATTGCAAAATTTGTGAATTCTCTAAGAAGATCGTAAAAAATTTATGAAACTCTTAGAAAATTGCAATTTTTTGTAGTTTCTCTTCGAATTTTGCAAAAACTTTAGAGAATCACAATTTTTGCGATTTCTCTTAGAATTTTGCAAAAATATTATAAAAATTTTAGAGTCACAAAAAATTGTGATTTTTCTTCAAATTTTGCAAAAATCGTGAAATTCTTGAAGAATCACAATTTTTGTGATTTCTTTTAGTATTTCACAAAAAATATTGCAAAATTCTTAGAGAATCGCAAAAAATCGCAAATTTCTTCAAGGTTCGCAAAAAAATGTGAAAATCTTAGAGAATCACAAATTTTTGCAAACTTCAAAGAGAAATTCACAATTTTTTGTAATTCTCCTAAAGTTTCGCATATAAATTATGGATTTCTTATATATTCAACCTGTAATTTTAGATTAATCTGAAAATTCTGGTTCAATTCAAATTTTTATCAGTTTGTAATTCAGTTCAGATTCAGATTAACATTTTTAAAATTAATAATCTGAACTGAACTGAACTGAAATTTTCAGTTCAAATATGAATTGGCATCTAATCTGAATTGAACTGAACTGTTCAGAGCTTAAGTTTGAATGCATACTATTATTATTTGAATGGTTTCATATACAGCATTATGAGTGAATTTTTCTTTTATGCTATATATGTCAATTAGATTATCCCAAATGAAGTGATCATTAGGATCTGATATTCTAGAATAATCTAGTTTTCTAGGACTCAGAAGCTTCTTTTTTTAATCTAAGACAGTTTCATTAATAGTAAGTTTTTTTGAAGGATTTCGCATTTCAGATTTCTGATCCTAATTGGTACAGTGACAATAAAATCTATATATTTTATTTTTATATAATATAGGTATTTTTACTATTATGCTTCTAATCACATAATGGACAGTGTGGTAAAAAATTGCAAGTTAATAAAAACAAGTCTAGAATGTTATCCAAGGGGAATAAGAGAATATACCCTTCGACACAATTATCTTTGAGTAATGTTTTTACAAAATCAAATTCTGCTTGAGTCATTTTACCATTAATATCATTATACCCTTTGGCTTTTAGTTCTGAAATAACTAAAAGAGAACTTTTTGCGATTTCTGATTTATTCTTAGGCAAGTGATCATGAAGTCAAAAATAGTTTTATCTTTTAAATACATTGCTTTTTTCACACGAACGTGCTTTTTTGTTTTTTCATCGTACTTAAATGAACTAAGCATTCATAAGGAAAATGTATATTTACTCATAATATTATCTATAATACTATTCTTCTGAAGAGACGCTAAAAGTTTCTAATAAATAAGCTCAGTGAATACTGTGACCTAAGTAATATTTTAAGTCTCATATTAGTAGTAGAGATATAAAGGATATTTTTTCACGTCACTATTACTTGCAACAATAATACTATTTTTATTTTATTCTAAAAATACTTCAAAATAGACATCTCTAAAGGCACGATTGAGTGTATCTAATATTTCTTTATGTGTAAGCTTAGATTCAATGCTATTATACACCTTTACTGGTAAATCAAAGTCAATCATAAGACAAAGTGGCTTATCACTATCAATAAATTCATGTAAAGAGTATTCTTCACAATCTAAGAGTATAGTCTCTATTTCGTCCTCATTGTTCACACTAAGGAAATTTCTTAGTCTAACACTATTGTTTCAAATTTATATAGGTATTGACCTATATTTTTGACTTTAAACCTATAATAGAATAGGATAGATGCGTCTAAGAACTCTAAAAGCTCAGAATAGGTCATTTTTAGATAATTTTTGAAAGCTATATAATATCCTAAACTTAGGATATACTGTCCTAGAAAAAGTTTAAATAAAAAATAAATATAAAAATATAAGAGATACCTAATGAGAGCTGAATTTATTTACTAATATCTTTCTAATAAAGGGAATATATGCAGACGAGCTTATAACTGACAAGAAGAATGCAAATTTCATTAGAAAAGGTGCTAGTGAAACTCTTATAAATAATGTGAAAAATCAACTACCTCAACCTAACATAGTGGGCTTAAGTCTGATTGGTTGATTTTTAAAATAATCATCACATATTAAATTCATATAAAAAAGATGATCATCAATCTTTAAATGGATTTACAGCCACAAGAATATATTCGCAAGGGTTATGATAAAAAAATTTCTAAAGTATACCTTTTGTTTTATAAACTTTCAAAGTAATTTAGTAAAAAGCAAGGTAATTCAGAACTTAGCTAATAAAGGTTTCTTTGCAATATGTTATTTTATATGTATATAGAGAAAGAGAGAGAAAGAGATTGAAAATTAAATTATATATTGGTATATATTTTAAAGTTTATTTTATTTATTTACATAAATAAAAGAGAAGATTAGATTATTTCTAATAAATAATAGATAATATACAACTATTCTTTCATGCTTTAATTTTATTGTTAAATTTGATTTAAATTTTTTAAACCAAATAACTAATAATGAACTGTAATTTAGATAAATATCTAAATGTATTTTATATTAATATAATTTAATAAAAAAATATTTTAATATATTTTTCACACGTTAAAGATAATTTAGTTCTTTTTACATTTTCACATTATTATTGATTTAAAAAAATTAAAATTTTTTTTTAAATTTTTTATTAAAAAGAATAATCACATAAATGGTTATTGATCAATCATATTAGTATATAATTTAGCCAATCACAGAAAAAGCTTGCTATTCTGTAGTATCCAATAAAGTGATAGAACAGGTTTTTGTTATATCACAATCCCAATCAACAGGTTTGATAATTAGGTATATACAGGCTATCTTCTATTCTGATAGAATATCACTCATATCAAAATATATTCTAATTAATTTTTAAAGGAAGCGTTGTATATTAGAAAGTTGTGATATAACTGAGGACCATTCTTCTATAGTAAGCAGCTGCATAATATTATTGAATCATCTTTCATTAATATAATCTTTTGGTTGATATTAAGCAATCTATTTTCCAAACAGAGGGGTAGCAGATGTATCAGGAATAGCATAGTTTTGAAAATGTTTGTTAATATATTTAATTAGTTGAAGATTATTAATTAACATTCATTATTCAACTGTCTCTTTGATGATAAGTCGATCTAATTTAATTATTCTTTTTGATCTGCCCAGAGCTGATTAAATCATTTTACCTGGATTCGATTCATATTAGAGACAACATTGATCAATGAAATATTTGATTTGTTAGTGTAATATATTAGTTTCTTTTATTTTAAATAGTGCTTTTAGATTGTGATATAATAAAGAATGATTTATTAATATATTATTTTCAAAAAAAAATATTATTATTATTATCTTTATAATATATGTGTTCTTCTTTAAATAATATTTTGAAAGCTTTTTAGCTGCTAAAGTATCATCATTATTTGAAGAAAAGACAGCAAGTTCTTTTAAAGTTTTCTAGTTAAAACTTTATAGAAATGTGTATGAAGTTGAGGTGAAGATCATCAAAAATGATAAAAGGTGATTTAAAACATTCTGCTTTATCCATATTTATTCTTAATTACATAATGAATCATCATCTACATTATATAATTGGGTATTTTCTCACAAGTTCTTATTTTAGAAATAAATCCATCAATTACTGCTGTCTAAAAATAAAAAAAAGATTGAAAAATTCAACCCTTGTAGGTCAAACTAAAATTGTATAAAAAGTTGTTGTCATGAAATTTGTATAGACCATTGCCAAATAAATAGGATCATCCTGATATGATGCAATTTGACGGTAAAGGATCAACATTTTAGTGAGAGGCTTATTTTCTTTTCAATTAATAATTGTATAATGAAACATATCTTCTTAACAGGATGTGTTCTAGAACCTCTTTCTATAGCAATAACTATAAAAGCATTGTGTCTATAAACACATGTGGTTATTTGTATAGTGGTTTCTTACAAAAATCTAAGAGAGATAAATTGTTATTTATGACTATACTAATATCAGGGTAGTTATCTGCTTTGATCTTATCTGAATCAATATGAACTAATCTGTAACTTCTTCAGGTATTTTAGCACTTTTGATTGATAGTGGAAGAACGGCTTATTCTCAGTTTAGAATTCTGATCTGTAATATTTCTCACAAAACTTATTGTATAAGATAAAGATCTGATACAAGTAAAATCATATTGTTAAGAAGATCTTTGAATGCAAGATATTTAGCATCTTTGCACAAAGGTCTGATAGTTATAGAAACCTCTCACTAGACACTATGAGAAATCTCTAAAAAAAGGTTGATATGCCATGTCTAGGAACATTATTTATTATTTGTAAATTTCTTAATTGCTTAATAAAATTTTGAGAAAATTCGTACGAAAAAAGTGTGCGTAAACTTTTGGAGACCCTCTGTACATAGAGAGTTTAAAGTTGTTTCGGAGCTGAAAATAAAATTTTAACTTATTTTACTATGTAGATTATCAAAATCTTAAAAGTACTTTAAACTGTATAAATTCAATTGAAAATCATGTGAAAGTCCTCCTATGAGGTCTAGGGTTAGTAAATTTATCGTTACACCAATTTTTAATTAAATAAAAAAGTTGAGATAAAAACTTTGAGTTTTTTGTCGGTAGCCTCATCTATCAAAATTATTATTCTTATTATACAGTACAATTTTTCTCAGATTATGAATATGATATTTAAATAATTGATTGTGAAGAGACAATTTTTCATAGAGAAAGTTTAAAGTAATTTTATATGGGACATTTCAGGGGATATTTATAGTTTGTACAAGTTCTTTAGAACTGGAGGCGATGTTAAACAAGTTGCATTTAACAGAATTCTTAACTAGGAAACGAAACCGCGAATTAAGAGCAAAATTGTATTCATTTTGTAAATTACATAAGCATAAATAAAGTTTAATTTAAAACCACATAAATTTCTGTAACTTGATTCTTGATCTCTTCTCGTAAGTAATATTTGACAAATTTGCAATATCATGGATTTAGAATTAAGGTGCAATTTCGTACAATGTCGTAAAGTTCTAAATACCGAAGGTCGCGCGTGTGTGACGACTTGTTCGCGTAGAGTATTTAATTTAATGTTGTGAATAAATATGTTCATTATCATTGCTCAATATTAATTTATTTTCTTTTAGATATTTTTTGCGGTAAACTTCAATATGCTGCTTTTCTTTGCAGATGATGAATTACTAAATTCTGTTAATTTAAGTTGAGTGCGCAAACAGCGCATTTTCTTCGGCTTTGGTATGTCCGGCATGTGAAACAAGCCTAACGGAAAAGTTCGTATTATTCATATATAGGTTTAAAAAAAAACTACATGCTTTTTCAACTTATTTATCTTTAAAACTAGTGACGATATTGTGTTCACTGATTTGAATCCAAGTGAAGATTATAAATCTGTACCATATGATGTCTTTATATTACATGAATATGTTTACGTCAAAAGATAGAATTTTGAGTAATATTCCTAAAGTCTGTTCTTTCAGGTCTTCGGCCGGATCTTATTATAGAAATTTGCTCACGAGCTTTATCATTTTGGACATATCAAACGACGCAGGAGGCTTGTTTTCAAGAAATGTTGTACAAGAATTTGGAAGAAAAGTACTCTCAATTAGAAAAGCAAGTCCAAGGAGTTTTGAGAGATGCTCAATCTGAAATTACATGTAAGAAATAAATAAATAGATGATATTTATTATTTAAATTTACATGTTATATGGAAAATTAAATTTTCTTCATTTCAATTATAAGCTTTAAAAGTCAAACTTCAGGGTAAATTAATATATATAACGAGCATCATTCACGTTTAATTTTTTTTTCTTAAATATTTATTGTTTATTTATTATTATAGCATTACAGAAAGAAAAGGAACAAGAAAAACGAAAAGCACATGAATTAGCTGAACAATTACAAGAAAAACACAGGCAATTTTCGAAATTGCAGGTCTGTTGCTTAATTACGGTACTTCCTAATTAGAAATCTTTTTTGTTAATCGTTATTTTTCTTACAGGGAATGTACGATAAATTAAGACGTAGAACATTGGTTCCGACGATGCAACAACCAGTCCAAAACCGTACTGGGAATTCATTTTCAAACGCTGGAGCTAACAATCCGGTTATTGGTTCAAGACAAGGTGGAGTTCCTAATGTAAGTTATGTTTCTTTTGACATTCTTCACAGAGAGATTTATCTTCTGGAAAAATAGGACATCCAAATTTTCCTAAATCTTCTATTTATTTATTTGATAAATATTAATTATTATTATTGTAAATTAAGCAACCTGGGTTATATGGTGAAAATGGTATATTTAATAATCGTACATGGAACATTGAAGAAAATCGTTATCGTGATCCATACGTGGTTCGACAAGATTATCCAGTTGGGTCAATGACAGGTGCAGGAAGAAAGATGGACGGGAATGAAAATTATGTTTTCCAACAACAGAAAGGTAAATTAATTTGGTATTCATGCTATCCTTCAGATAAGATACACTAATCGCTAATTGTATTTTAAAGGATCAAGAAGAATTCATTTTAATACGGCATCTAATCCTAGCAACAGATTACCTCAAAGATAAACACCTTAGCAATTATTAAATAATAGACTATTCACAATTTCTTTATTATCAATAAAATAATAACTACATAAAATAAAAATGCAGTTTTAAGAAAATTCTGATTTTAATTGTCACGAGCGGATGATATGCGGAAATGTGTTGTAATACTAAGCCACTTTGTCATATTTTGACAATTCACATATTTGATAGTTAACCTTGGAACATGTTGAAATTTTTTCTTTTAATCAATAAACAAGGACAAACTCGTTTTTCTAGATATTATAATACGAAATTACAACCAGAAGAAAGAGTTCTTATGGAAGCAGATATTTTACGAAAATGCTTAAAAAGGGGTGATTCTCAGGTGCGAATCGAGTTTTTTTTAAAAAAAAATAATAATAATAATTATGAATTTGTATTTCAATGGTTAACCAAATATCTAATACAATTCAAGTGCTCTATATTTGAATTCAGAAGGTACAAATTAGGTTAGTAATAAAAAATTTATTATAATCAATTGATAGTTATATCATTCAAAATATTTTGTAGCATTTAGGCGATATGCTTCATTATTTTTTGTAATCGGTTTTGAAGAAGAGGAGAACCATCTTGCCATCCTTGAGCTCGTTCAAGCATATGTGGGTAAGTTAAAACAAAATGACCATTAATATATATGTGTATATTATTTATGTATATTATGTATTTATCATTTATATCAAAAGAAATATTGAATACATATTTTGATAATGTGGTATGATCAAATTTTATTTATTTTGATTTTCTTTTTTGATTAATTTATAATTTTTCAAATTTCTCATCAATCTTAATTATAGTGTGAACTAGATATCATGTTTAATATTGAAAAGGTGCATGTAATTTTAGAAGAAATGATTATGAATGGTAAAATAGTGGAGACCAATAAAAATAATGTATTGGCCCCTGTATTGGAAATGGATAAGGCATCAAAGTGATATAAAATAAAATAAAACAAAATTTAAATTCATAAATCTATCGACGGTTTATTCTTGAATTTTTTTGTAACTCTAGATGCTGACCTGTATCGAAATTGGTCACCGTACAAAATATACATATGATCACGAAGTTGAAATGTGAAAATACTATGCCCTTTCGGGATACATTTCAAGCTATCACCTTTTGTAATTAACTTGAACATATTCTCTGTTTCTTGGATAACAATTCCTGTAACTCCAACATAAGATGCACATTTTGATTTAGAGACTAAAAAAAACAATGAAAAATATTGTTAGTTATATTATCATGATATTAATCATATTATTTGTTTATTTATCTTTTTTTTTCTTTGACCTGTAAGAATTGCTCCGTGAAAATCAGCTCTCAATAATTTTTGAGCAAAAACGATAGGATTTGATTTCCCATATAGCTCTTCAATGTATTGAAGCCAAAGCTCATGTAAAGGAAGAAAGAGTTCATATCTAAAAGGGCATATAAAAAAATTAATAAGTACAAATGTTAACTTTCTTAAAAATTATAAGATCTTACTTATGACATTCTTTTGGAACTTCATAAATCTTGGTTTGTTTCTTTTCTTTCGCACTCATCACTTTGTATTTCTTCTTCAGCAGCATTCTTTTCTTCTTCTCATTGGAGCTTTTTAACGGATTATCAAGAAGCAACACCTTGTCCTTTACTTTGGTCGCAAAAATCTTTGAAGGATCCTTAGTGGTAGTCTCTATTGATCCCATAACGAAATTTGGGACAAATTTTCTCGTGGTCTCGGAAACTGGCGGTTGTTTCTAATATTGTTTTCATTTATTAAATTTTTTATATAATATCTCCAAAGTACAAAGGAATCAAAAATTTACTTCATTTTTTGCCACTTGAGAACTTTGTATATAACGTGGAAGACGTGAATATAATTTAGACATTGGTATTGATAAATTTTTTTTTTTTTTTTTTTTTTATATATATATAGTGATATTAATCCCATAATTTTTTGAAAGTTTAATTTTTAGGGGTTTATAAATTTAGTGACGGGTATAAGGTTGTGTTGATAAGAAAGGAGAGATAGTTGGCAATCCCCTCGATAAGGACGGAGTTTGGGGTTATCCCCTCATCAACACATTTAGTGTTAAGGCAATGTCACTCCCTTCGGGGGGCGACGTCTTGAACAGTTTTTTTTTTTTTTATTTTATCATTATTCGTCACGCGTATACGTTTTACTGCGTAATTAGAGATTTCGTTTATTTAAAATATCAAAATATAGAAAATACTACTACTAATCTTGTAAAAATAAAAATACAAAAAAAAAAAAAATAATAATAAATTTGAATTACCACTGAATGATATATCATTCTATTAAAACTAAATTACACACTGAAAGTAATAACTAAAATGTAAAAATTTATCTCCATTAAAATATGGGTATATAATTACTAATCCTCTCTTTTTGTCCTTGACCAATACATTCAGCAATCCATACAATGTTCCTAATTTCTTGTTCTTTAAGTTTCAAAAATGCATAAAATATTGCATAATGAAAATGTTGTTGGAATGTAAGCTTGTTCAAATGAACTTCATGCTCAAAGAATCTGTCATCAAGAGTCTTTGCTTCGCTTGTAGCAGCACCACCAAAAGATGTCAGACTATTATCAAAAAAGGGACGGTATTCCTAAATTATTCATAAAATAAATAAATCATTCACGTAGGATAATGATAATTTTTTATAATTCTTAATAATTTTTAACATACCACCCAAACCTCAACGACATTCTTAACGTGTTCAAGTTCATCCGCCCTTGCAAGCTTGGCATGTCCGTCAGGATACAATCTTCCTAGACTAGGAAACAATTTTGCACGATCATCCCTTGATAATTCTGTGCCAAAAGAGTTAATCGTAATATTAATGGTACGACGGTCAGCTTCAAACTGAAATAATATGAAACAATATTATCATCTATTTAATATGTCACTAAACATATGAAGTGGCAAGAAATCATTATTACATAGAGTTAATAGAGTTGAAAATACCTCTAAAATTTCACTCATCATTTGTCCCGTTGCTCCACCAATTCTTTTGCAATATCTATAAAAATCTTCAAGATACGCCTTATAAAGCGTATTACGAATAATCTCAATGTTTAATTCATCCAGATCATTTGCCGAAAGACAATTCTTGAAATATGGAGCTAAATATGTGATTTATGTAAGTAAATTAATTAAAAAAATATTCTAGGTAACGATAAATTATATTACCAAGTGGAGTCTCCACTAACACAGTATCGTACAATTCTGCTACATTAGTTGCAACACACAATGCCGGCATAGAATCAAACACTCCAAGTGGATGACATCGCTCAAGCAATTCATGAGTATCACGTTCATGCAAAGTGCCTGTTATAAGAAGTATTACATTATCAATCATATAGGCATAACTAAAAATAAAATAAAATAAGATTAATTAAATCCTAAAATAAATAAATAAAAAAAAGAATTTAGGGGTTGTATTAAAAAAGCTTACGTTAAATAATCAAGAAATCTGGCCAATGGCTCCACAGCGTTGGCACGAACGTACTTAAATTCATCGACTAATTTCTGTGTCGCTTTTTCATGTATAGTTGAAGTAGCAATGGGGGAAGGCTCATTAGCCAAAAAGTTACCATAATCCGTAGCACTTAACTGAAGCTTTAGATCTATATTATTTGGTCAATGTTATTAAATTATTTTTAAAAGATCATCCCGACAATGTTATATCCCAAATATAAGCTCCATTACTAACCGTCAAGAGTTTCGCATTGCGTCAAGTTAATGTAGTGATTTGAAGTGAGTATACCACTCTTATATCCTCTCACAATACCTTCCAAGTAACCATCATTTATGTTAAAGAATAAAGCTTCCATTTTTTTTCAGAGTAAAGAGAAAAGATTATACAACTGATGGCTAATATTTTGATTAGATATAAGGACTATTTACTATATAAAACGCCATACATTTGATTTGTTGGGCAATTCAAATAAATATTGGTGTGTCGTTACAACTTCAAATGTATGACAAGATTTTCGATTTTGATTTTTTTGCTCCATCTTCCCTAACTTATATCGATATTTTTACTAATAACTATATGTTGTGGAAAATCCTATTCAAAATCCATCTGATCCTGAATCTATAGTTACATAATTAGTTACTCTTATTTTAGTTGCTAAGATCTCGGAACAGTTTTATACAATTATTTATATAACTATAATATATTTTAATAAAATAATAAAATAATATATAATTATAAAATAAGATAATTTATTAAATAAATTAATAATAATAATTAGAAATAAAAATTTTATTATATAAAAAATTACTACATAGTAAAATTAATTCATAATATGAGTTATAATCTAAAAAAATCAGATTCTATAAAATTTTTAAGTCAAATTAAAATTAATAAAATTTTATTCCTTTAATTGGTTTGCTTACAAATTTGCAAGCAATTTTTTTATTAATTACAATCATTTTTAATTATTTTAAATATTCTAAAATGAATTTTTAAAAAAATTAATACTTTTATAATATATTTTATGATGTTTTCTAAGTAAAAATAAAAGAAAAATGTAATTAACTAGTGATTTTTTAAAGATAAATAAATAATTAAAAAAATTAAATTTTTAAACTCATATATCTTGCTATCTATCAATCTTAGAAATATAAAAATATTATTATTTAATAGGTCTTAATGTGATGAATTCAATAAACTAAATTTTATATTTTTGTAATTATTTTTTTTAAAGACGTGATAATGCTTATATTTAATATGAAAAATTCAAATCCAGTAGGTTAATACATGAAAATCCTAAAAATCAGATATAAAAAATAAAAAAAAAAAATTGAACAGCCTAAAACATTCATGCAAGTTAAAAAACTTACTAGTTCAGACCAACTAATCATCCTGTCATACTCCAGAGATAATCATGATTATTACTATGCTCTTCTCTTTTCTCTAATAATAATTCTTATCCTAAATTTAAATTCAATATAAAACAAGTAACTCAAATTATTGTTAAACTAAAAAAAAAGCTAATAAAAAAATCTGATTCTAATAAGTTCCTAGCTAAGTTACCTGATTAATTTCTGATTATAATAACCTCCTAACATAGGAGTACCTATATTATTAAGTTCTATCAAAAGCTCTTCAGTACTCTCAAACTTCTATGTTAAAATATCTGTCAATTCATATTACAGCTGCTAGAATATATTGCACAGAACTCAAATCACACAATTACGAGAAACTAAAAAATTCTGCTAAAATCGATAAACTCTATAATATTAGAAATCTAAAAAGAATATGCTTATTTAGAAAGATAATGAAAAAATCATCACATGCAATTAGTTAATTCAAAGTTATTATTGATTCTAATCATCATTTGGAATATCCTCTGATATCCACTTTTGTGAACAAAAAGAAAAGAAGAAAAATGAAAAAAACAGCTAAGAGAAGTAGCAAAAAAATATTTTAACAAAAAAACACCACTACTTGGATTAATAAAACTGTTTATTAGAATAAGAGGGTTTGAGAAAAATAAGAGAAAAAGAAGTTTGTAAAGGGAGTTTTATTTTTTTATTTATAGGCTAAGCCATAACCATCCTTAAACATACACTTTTTTACATAAAATTCTTGATCAAATGATTGTTAGAAAAAGTTTATTTTATATTGTAATTATTAGATAATAAATTATATTTAAAAATTAAAAAATTAAAAAATTAATATATATTAATAATTATTAATTTTAAAAGTTTAAAAATACTACTATTAAATATATATTATAATATAATAAATTTAAAAATTTTATTTCATTTTTTTTATAATCATTAGATATTAAAATATTTTAAGTTTTTTTTTTTTTATTTTAACGTGTGGTAGCTTTGCACAATCTTTATTAAAAGTAAAGTAAAACTACAAATTACAAATGAAAGAGTACAAAAATTTCTATCTAGTAAATACTAAATCAAAACCAACCTTGCACTGTTCTAGTATTGGGGGCCTGATTACTACTGATTCAAAAATTTGACTAATGCGAACCAAAAAGGAATAATTTATGAAAGTAGGAAGGGATAATAAAGGTATAAGGGGTGGGATCAGGAAAGCCAGTTGATATAGTATTTGCTTTTTGATCCTTGAGAGACAAGTTGTGTTCATCTTCAAATTTTTTGAAGGTGGCACATTGATCGAGCCAAAGAACTTTGATTTTTTCATGTATAAAGTAGTATGTTGAGGAAAGTAAACTACAGACGATTGACTTATTATTTACTATTTAATATAGTTTCGTTGTAAACAAGGACGGAACTATGCCTTTTATGAAGTTAATAAAATTAAAAGAGGAGTGTGTAGGATCAAGGTTCTAAATATTCATTGAAATGATGCTTGCTATATCAAATTGATGATTGAGTTCTGACAAATGCTGAGAGAGGAAGGTGATGGTATCTAATAAAATGTCGTTGAGATGTTGTAATGTATGTTGGCAAAGCCAGATATGATCAAAATTCTTCAAACTAGTAAGGCATTTAAGGCAGGACCATGAAGAATCATATAAATCAGGGTGACGCTTTTTGAGTACCTCAAGTGTAGGGAAAAGTTCAAGCAGAAGTTTGATTTTAAATTTTTGTATAGAGGAAGCCTTATAGGATGTGATAGAGTCACTTTCATTATCATTAAACACGAAAGCAGTATTAATCTAGTCTACCTCTAGGGTTGAGTATTTTTGAAAATGTGGAAGTAGTTGAATGTTGTGAAAGTCAATGGAGTTGAGGAGGTCTTTAATAAAATGTCGTGAAGGCGTCAAAATAATTTGGTTGTTATAATAGAATGTATAGTCGAAACCTAATTCTGTCTATACTAGAGTTGTAGGTGAACTTATTTCTTTGGTAAGTCAGTTAACTTCATTATTATAGTGGTCATCAGCATGAGCTTTGACTTTATAGAATGTGATATCTATATTTTTCTCTTTGAGCTGGCGGAAGAGTGAACACCAAATAGGATAATTTGAAACTTTGAAAATGGGGTTGTAAGTGGGAACGCATATAAGAAAGTAATTTATTTTTGAATAGGAGGCTATGGTGATTAATGAATCTGTGAAAATGTCAATATTGGAATTAGGGGGTGAAACATGAACTGCAGCCAGAATCGCTACTAATTTAGCTAGAAAGGAAGATGGTTGGGGAAGGGTAATAAAAGCATTGAAAGAATGAAGAGGTTCTGATAGATCGATTTGTAACCAGGCAACCCCCATATGAGATGAAGAACTACCTAAATTAGAGAGAGAGCCGTCAGTGTAAAATAAAAGGTTAGTTGATTATAAAAACAAAATCGATAGACTATCTAACTGAGTGCTATATCAGAGGTAAAAATATTTGATGAAGCTACGTTAATGGAAGGTGTAGAAGGTTCAATATTAAAAGCAGGATCTGAGTGAATTTTAAAATTAAAAAGAACCATTTCAAAGATCATATATGGGGAAAGGAGACAAAGATAACTAAGATTATGCGTAGGTAATGCATGTAAGAATAAACATAAGGGTAGCGCTAATTTAACAAAGCATGAATAGTTTTTGTTTCTCATATTAGAAGGTATAAAAGTGGTATTGTCATTCATAGAACAGCTATTACACGCGATGAGGACAGATTTCCAAGAAGTTTCCGCTTGAAAATAAAAGTGTTATATATGAAAAATGTTTGAGTTTATCTTAAGCACTTTGCTAACTACTGGCAGGTGCCACTTTACTGTGAAGTGGGTCATACTTTTGATATGAACCGGAGGTCTAGTATGAATAATATTATTATGAGGATGTTGGTATTATAGTAGGATGTTTCTATTAGAATTGTTGTGCAGCACTAGATTCTGAAGGTCAATAAACCATGTTGGTGGTGTTGGAAGAATAAGTGTGGCTGTTGAAAATTTGAGGTCAGGTAAGGTGAAGAGAGCTAATCCATCTGAAGTAGTTATCTGATCAATAAACATCAGGTTTTTCTTTTTTAGTTTATCAGCATGTTTTCTAAAGAATGCAAGGCCATATATATCAATTAGGGGTGTATAACCTTTGATTATGGCATTATCGTTAGTTTGACTGTTAGTAACTGTAATATTGAGTGATTTTAAGTTTGATAATAGTGCAGACCACCAGTCTTTGAACTTGTAAGAGGCATCATAGAGCCATTGAGCAAGTGGTGATTGAACTAGCCATTCATTAATTTGGAATTAACAATTACGAATTAACGCAGTAGTTCCTAAGAGACCTTTGTCATTAATCATTTTTGTAAAGTTAGTAATTTTCGCTTGAAGTTGAGCTGAAAATAAATGTGTCATATTATAGAACAGCGAGGAGTAAATGATAGCTGATGGGGTGCTTTTGGTTATATTCATAACTGATCGAAAAATCTTCTGGTATGTTCCCATTATTCTGTCGCAAAATTTGTAATCAAGAAATGTTAATTGTGAACGATATAAAATACGTGGTAATAAGATTGAATTAAAGACACTCTTAAGTTGTTTGTCAGTAATATATTTTTTTTTCATAGTTGCAGCAGCGGCTGCTACCTCATTATAAACTTATTAGCGAATAAAAGAGCTGTTAGGAAGTAATAAAATCCAAATACCTAAATATTAAGTAGACGTTTTTAAGTTTAAAGGTTTAATCCATTTTTCGTTGTGTATAAGTTTAAAGTGTACCGGTTGGACGATAGAAATTGAGGTAAAGAGGATAGACTTATCCCAATTAACAAGTATACTGTTGAGTTGATAAAAGTCATCTGCTATAGAAAGGATTGATTCTAAGTCTTCTTTGGATTTACTAATCTAGAGTGTATCATCTATATATACAAGTGTGGAAATGTTGGTTGACACTGAGGATTTAGTTGA